GACGCGACGTCGGAAGCCGGCGGTGAGGAGGGAGGCCGATCAAGGACGAGCCCGATGCCATCAGCCACAGCGTTTGGATCAGGGCAAGGTGAAGACATGTAAAAAAGGCGAGCAGTGCACGAGTAACGTCATCAGCTACAAAGCTGGGATCAGCTCGGGTTCGAAGGCAAGCAGTGGCAGCAGGAGCTGGCAATGCGAGAAGGGCATGCAGTGGCAGCAGGATCTGGCATTGCGAGAAAATGTGAAGTGCAGGAGCGGACATCTTCAGTAACAGCGCTGGGATCAGCTCGTGTGCGAACGTGCAGAAGGGGCAAGCGGAAAGCAGGGGCGACGCATCATTAGTTACAGTGCTGGGGTTCGCTCATGCGCGAAATGGCCGAGGGTTGAAGCTGAAGCCAAATGCTATCTAGCTAACCTGCTCGGCACTGCGCGTGCGAGAAGTGCTGGGTCGAGAGCTCCGGGGCCCTATGCGAGAAGCGGGGGGGGAAGCTGGAACCCAAGTATAGTCGTTACTCAGCGAGATAGCGGAGGCGAAGCCGCAGCCAGACGTCATCAGCTACAGCGCTGGGTGCAGCGCGTGCCAGAACGTCGCGCAGGGGCCGCAATCTCTGTGGTTACTCAGCGAGATGGGGAAGGCGGAGCTAGAGCCCAATCTCAGCTACAGCGCTGGAATCAGGGCGTGCGAGAAGGGCAAACTCTGACAGAAGGATCCGGCACTACTCTGCGGGAGGCGGGAGGCGAAGCTGGAGCCCGAGGTCGTCAGAACAGTGTTGGGAGCAGCACGTGCGAGAGGGGTGAGAGGTGGCAGCAGTCTCTGCCGGCGCTCAGCACGAGGAAAGTGCGGGAGCGGACATCATCAGTTACAACGCTGGGATCCGTTCGTGTGCGAAGCAACGCAGTGGCAGCAGAAGCTGGCAATGCGAGAAGGGAAAGCAGTGGCAGCAGGATCTGGTACTGCGAGAACGCGACAAGGGCAGGAGCATACATCATCAGCCTCAACGCTGGGATCAGCTCGTGCGCGAAATGGCCAGGGGAGCAGCCGTGCACAGCAGGGTTGCAAGAGCTGGGGCGCACGTCATCAGCGACAACGCAGCCGGCCAACCCATGCCGCCCGGGAGAGGCCTGGGGGATGGTGAGGCCCATCTTTCGTCGGTTGCGTTCTCTTGCTCATAGCGCAGCCGATCCTCGCGCGCGAAATGGTTGGGTGCGAGGCTTGCACGGCAGGCCGAGGGGATAGTTTGGGGCCCACGTCGTCAGCTATCATTCGAGAAAGGGCTCAGTTTGGCACCCACCTCAAGAAAGGCTCTTTTATTGACCAAAGCCGAACCTTTTAGCCCAGGAACGGCCTGGGGTAGGGGAAGCTTTCAACGTCGCCGTGGTGCGTGCCTCGCAGCTGCGGAGATCAGGCTAGCATAATCCAGCATAATCCTCCTCCTCCTCCTCCCTCTCCTCCCACTCCGGCCCCATGGTGGGATTTTGGAGCGCGAGCAGGGGCACGGGTAGAGCGTCGACCGCCCACGTGTTGCTCCGCCCCCCCCTGGACTATGCCCCCCTACGCTGGGGGCGTTGGGTAAGGACTGTGCCCGGGAGGCTTCGCACACTTGAAGGGTTCCTGATCCGATGAGGGCGGCGGTGATATCCGTGGCCACTCCGCGAGCAGAGTTTTTTGCTGGCTTCTGGAAGCGGGATTCCTCCTCCAGCGGCTCCTCGTCCAGGGCCCTCACCGCACCGGAGGAGGCGGAGGAGGAGGAGGAGGAGGAGGAGGAGGAGGAGGAGGAGGAGGAGGAGGAGCAGCAGAAGGAGGAGGAGGAGGAGGAGGAGGAGGAGGAGAGGGAGGCGGAGGAGGGAGGAGGAGGAGGAGGCGGAGGAGGAACCCGCAGGGAGTACGTCTCCCTGGGCGTGTGGTCGGACGGCAGCGGGCGCGGCGCTCGGCACCGACTGCCCCCGCCGCGGGCCGCCCCCGCCGGCCCGTCGCGGCCGTGCCCCCCCGCGGCCGCCCGTCGCTGGCGGCTGCGCCGGCCAGCGGCGGAGGCGGCGGGCGGTGGCCGACGGCGGCGCCCTGCCCTTGCGGATCCATCGGCGGCGAGCGGGGGGGTTTGGCATCGTGCATTTTTTTCTCGGCGAGGACCTTCGAGGAGCACCCTCGACCATCTGGCGAACAATTATCCCGGCGAAGCAACCTAACAGCGATGTGTAGAAGCATATATGAAAGCATTCCCCTTAAGATTCAGATGAAAATCCAGTTGTAGAATTCTGCTGTTCTCGCAGTCGTAGTCGCATTCGCGATGACAGTCGCAGCGGCAACGGCAGTCGCAGTCACAGCCTCAGCCTGCCTCAGCCTCAGCCTCAGCCTGCCTCAGCCTCAGCCTGCCTCAGCCTCAGCCTCAGCCTACTTCAGCCTCAGCCTCAGTCTGCCTTCAGCCTCGGCCTCAGCCTCAGCCTGCCTCAGCCTCAGCCTGCATCAGCCTCAGCCTCAGCCTCAGCCTGCCTCAGCATCAGCATCAGCCTGCCTCAGCCTCAGCCTCAGCCTGCCTCAGCCTCAGCCTCAGCCTGCTTCAGCCTCAGCCTCAGTCTGCCTTCAGCCTCGGCCTCGGCCTCAGCCTCAGCCTGCCTCAGCCTCAGCCTGCCTCGGCCGCAGCATCAGCCTGCCTCAGCATTCAAAATGTGGCCCAGGAATGGAGTTCTGGGAACTAGAAGAACACGAAGTGGCCTACAGTTGGCTCCGGGCATTCAAAATCATGCCCAGGAATGGAGTTCTGGGAACTTGAAGAGCACGAAGTGGCCTACAGTTGGCTCCGGGCATCCAAAATGTGGCCCGGGAATGGAGTTCTGGGAACTCGAAGACCACGAAGTGCCTACCTTGAAAATGTGGCCCGGGAATGAGTTCTGGAAGTCGAAGACGAAGTGGCCTACAGTTGGCTCCGGGCATTCAGAATGTGGCCCGGGAATGGAGTTCTTGGGAGGTCGAAGAGCACGAAGTGTGTGACTGTTGGCTTAAAACGACTTCTGCGGCACCCTGTCCGGCACCCGCCCAGACCCCCCTGTGGAGTCATCTGCTGCTCTCTTTTGACACCACTAGAAACCTATCAGAACAAGCTGTTAGGTAAAAACACGCACGAAACCAAAACAAGCACAGGGAATGGACGTCCGAGCGATGGCCAGGGGGGGGGGGAAACAAGAAACAACTCGGAGGTGGATAGGCCTCCTACCCCGACACGTCGATTCAGGAATTGCCCGTTTTCGGTTCGCGAGAGGGCGTCGCGGCCGTCATTTTTGCGGGTCCAGGTCCGTTGGTTTCGGTCCCGGGCAGTTTTCACTAAGGAGAGATTTGCTAAAGGGAGGTTTGTCCACCGCCGAAAAACGCCATTAACATAAACGCAGGATGCTCCTCGATAACCCTCGCCGAAAAGATGCACACGTCCGAGCGATATCGAGTAAACGTTCGACGGTCCGTGCGGATTTTTTTGAATCTGCGGAAGACCCCTCTCCCAGGCGCGCGGAGCGCGCCAGGGGCGGCGTCGCCGCCGGGGGGTGCCCAGCGCGAAAGTTAACGTTTGTGTTGTTGCTTTCTTCTTCGATTTGCCGCACAGGGACAGCGCGAGCGCTGCCTCTGCGCGCGGGCGCCAAAAGTCATCGTGGCCTCTTCGCTTGTCTCTGCCCTGTCAGGACCTCGGTGGCCCTCTGACGCCAGAGGCAGGTGCTCCTGCGTGGCTGAAGGGGCCCAGGGACACACAAATGAATAGACGCAAATCTCAGGATCCCCCAAATGTTCCGCCCAGCGCGGACCCAAGAAATCCGCGCGGAGCACCAACAGTTTATGAGCTGTTTTTCTTCTTCGAGGGAAGTGCGAAGGAGGAGGCCCTCTCAGAAGGCGGCGGGACTTCTCAGGAGCCCTCGCGCATGCTGAGAGGCCTCCCGTGCCTTCGGGGAAGGCCTCGGAGGCTTCTCAGGAGGCCGGGGGGCTTGCGAGCCTCGTGAGACGGCCCGCCCCTTCTCACTTCCCCCACCCGGCTCGCCGCCGAATCCACAATTCAGGCAATTCGGGGGGCGGCGGGGGCAGGGTTCGGAATGCGTCGAACGCGTTGCGAAATCCGAACACTGCCGATTCAGGAGACGCAGTACGTCGTTGGTGGGGGTAGGGTTCGGATGTCGCCACCCATTCAGAGATCCAACGTCTCGAAACAAGTCAGGACAGGTCTCTCTCTCTCTCTCTGCATTTTTCGGCCTCCGAGGGCCCTCGCTGGGCCCCCCGAAGCCGTAACAGAAACGACGCTGCACGAACAGTCGGCCTTGGAGAGGGATCGGAATTTCCATTGGCCACCCCCCTCGAACAAAAACTCAAGACGTCGGACTTGTGGGGAGGGAACCTGAGGAACATGGGCCCTGGAGGCTTCTCGCCGTTGTCGGGCTCCGAGAGTCCCCCCCCCCCGCGCGAAGCCAAGCGTCCACAGGGGCGCGTAGGCAGAGAAGAGGTGCACCGGTGGCAACTCTCCGAGCAGCGTGGCCAGGAAAACGCACCTTCAGCAGTGATGTTGCCGCCCGTCCATGCCTTCCCCTCTTCCTCCTCCTCCTCCTCCTCCTCCTCCTCCTCCTCCTCCTCCTCCTCCTCCCCCTCCCCCTCCTCCTCCTCCTCTTCCTCCTCCTCCTCCTCCTCCTCCTCCTCCTCCGCTTCCTCCTCCTCCTCTGACGCCTGTCATGCACTGTGTTCACATGTGAATGCTGTTTCGCCGATGCCTTCCGTGCAGGCGCCTCAGCGCCTCCTCCGCCGCGCCTGCATGGCTCCACATGCGCGCGGAGCCGAGGCCCAGGCCGAGTCCGAGGGCAAGGGCTGCCACGAGGGCGCGAGGTTAGTCGCGCTTCGCGCTTCGCGGGCCTCATTCCTCCTCCCCTTCCTCGTCCTCCTCTTCTCCCCTTTGGGGGCGGCGCGAGAGCGCGAAGTTGTTCGCGCAGCGCGAAGCGCGAAGTTCGGAGCCCTTGGAGGGGCGCGGAACAACGAAGGAGAGGGCCCGTCAGACAGCGGCCCAGGACGAAGATCAGGCGCAACGATAGTCGGGCCGAACGAAAGGGGGGATTGGGAAAGGGGGGGTTACGAACTCTGCTGCGTACAGCTGGTTTCGGCCCGCCGCCGGGCCCATTCCTCGATAACATGGGCGCCTCCGGGCGCCGGGAGGCGCCGGGAAAATCAGCTACGGAGCTGATTCTCCCCCCCCCTTTGTTATCCCCCCCTTTCGCCCGGCACGAGATAGGGGGGAAACAGGCATAGGGGTGGATGCATCGACCCCCAGTTGCCCATTGGTCGCCGCTGGGAGTCTGCTGGCCCCACCCCGCGCAGGAAGGTGCGGTTTCGCTATCGGGGGCCTATCGCCGATCTATCGACGATGTATCGCCGATTCCAGGTCGGTGCATCCCCCCTATGCCAGTCCCCCCCTTCTCCTTGCCCCTCGGAAGAGCTGGCCCCAGGGAAAACGCCCCCCCCTCCCCCACCCGCCGGTGCCCAGGGCCCTGTTTCCCTCCCAGGCCCGTATGCCTCTCGTGCCAGGCGCCCCGGGGTGTCGACGACTGCTGGTGGCGAGATCGGAGTGGCCGGCGATTTTGCCTGGCGCGGGTATGGCTCGCCGCGGGGCTCGCGCGCCTCCTCCTGCTCCTCCTCATTGCCCTCCTCATTGCCCTCCTCTCCTCCCTCGTCCTCGCCGTCGTCCTCGCTCTGCTCCTCCCTCCTTGCCCTCCTCCCTCCTCCCTGATCGTCTTGCCGTCCACCTCGCTATCGTCCTCTGCACCCTCCTCATCCCTCATCGTTCTCGACCCTCGCCCGTGCCATTCTGTCCCCCAAACATATGTCCGCCATGCTTGCGTCGCCCTCCCAGTGACGACGCGCGCGCGCGCGCTCAGAAATCTTCTGGTACAAGCTCCGTGGCGGGCGCTGTCTGGCCATTACCGCTCCGCCAGCGACATGCTATCAGACTTGTGTGTACAACATGTTTGTGCCGGACGTGCGCCTCCGGCGTCAGCGCGTAGCACTAGCAGCTCCTTCTGCGTCCCAGTGGGAACGTCTGAAGCGCTCCCACTCGGGGTGGGCATGCGCTTGCCGCCGAGAGTGGCAGCCGGAGAGGGCCTGAGGGGAGGAACAACCACCCCGACCCCGACGACCTGCGTTTGCGAAGCGGCCCTGGGCGTTTACTACACAGCCCTGTCCTGTTTGCTCCCTCCCCGGGGTGCGTCTGCGAGACGGCTTCGCCTGCCGGGGAGCTTCTGAGGAGGGCGGATGTTCTGCTCTCCATGGGGCCATCGGCAGCGGCAGCGCACGGCGTGCCGTGGCCGCGCCGCCGAAGGCGTCTCCCTCGGCTCCTCGGGGCGTGTCGGCCCCGGCGAGTTCAGAACTCTGGGACGCCTCCAGCTTCCGCGCTGTTCGGCTCCCGCCCGCGTCTCGCGCGGGCCACTCACGAGGGACAAACAACGCACAGGCACAACTAATCGGTTCCCACGAAAATATAGAAATGGGAGACGTGGAGGGGAAGGTGGGCATCCAGAAAATGCGGAACATTTGGGGGATCCTGAGATTTGCGTCTATTCATTTGTGTGTCCCTGAGCCACGCAGGAGCACCTGCCTCTGGCGTCAGAGGGCCACCGAGGTCCTGCCAGGGCAGAGACAAGCGAAGAGGCCGCGACGACTTTTGGCGCCCGCGCGCAGAGGCAGCGCTCGCGCTGTCCCTGTGCGGCAAATCGAAGAAGAAAGCAACAACACAAACGTTAACTTTCGACGCTCCGCGCGGATTTCTTGGGTCCGCGCTGGGCCCCCCCGGCGGCGGCGCCGCCCCTGGCGCGCTCCGCGCGCCAGGGAGGGGGAGAGCATGCTACGCATGGAATGAATTCAATGGAAATCAATTGCAGTGGATCCGTGAGTGGATCAATCTAGACTGATGAGGCTATGATGCCTCTTTCGGTTTTGAACCGGCTATGATGCCCGCTCGTGCCCACCCCGTCCCGTCTTCAGGGACTTCGTATCTCCCTATGATGGTAAGATGGGAAGACGGGCCGCCGCCCCTGGCACTGCACGTACGGTGCCAGGTTTGTGGGGATTTGGTTCGACCCGTGCAGTTCCAATGATGGAAATTGCGAGGGGTGTGAGGCCTCATGGTGGTCCTCACAGGTAAGGCCTATGATGGTCCTCGCCGGGGGTGGGAGAGGGCAAGGGCGGACGTCCACTAGCAACGTCCGTCATGCTCATCCTCCGTGACATGCACTATGACCACACTCATGAATCAGAAGACCGTGACATTTACGAGCACGACCCGACCTATGATTGCGGACTCCGTGAAACGCGCCGTGACCACGCTCATGACCACGAAAACCGTGAAATTCACAAGCACGACTCGACCTATGATTGCGGACTTCGTGACATGCACTGTGATCGCGATCATGATCAGGAAGGCCGTGAAACACACGAGCGCGACTTGACCTATGATTGCGGACTCCGTGAAATGCCCTGTGACCACACTCATGAACAGGAAGACCGTGACATTCACGAGCACGACCCGACCTACGATTGCGGACTCCCTGAAACGCACCGTGAACACACCCATGACCACGGAAACCGTGAAAGTCACGAGCACGACCCGATCGAGGCCGAGGTGATGCCCGCACTGCCTGTATCGCGGCTCCGATGGGGTGGAGACCAGGAGGAGGACGAGGAGGAGGAGGAGGAGGAGGACGACGACGACGAGAAAGTTGAGTTCAATGAAAAATGGAGCGCGAAGGCCTATGATGGTCCTTCTTCTCAAAACGTGCCTTGCTGATGGCCCCGAAGTGGGTGCGAGGTGCCTATGATGGCCCCTCTGGTTGCCTATGATGGCGGCACTAGACGACCTGCAGGGGACTGGGTCCCGTTCACGGTCCATTAGGGAAGAGCATGCTACGCATGGAATGAATTCAATGGAAATCAATTGCAGTGGATCTGTGAGTGGATCAATCTAGACTGATGAGGCTATGATGCCTCTTTCGATTTTGAACCGGTTATGATGCCCGCTCGTGCCCACCCCGTCCCGTCTTCAGGGACTTCGCATCTCCCTATGATGGTAAGATGGGAAGACGGGCCGCCGCCCCCGGCACTGCACGTACGGTGCCAGGTTTGTGGGGATTTGGTTCGACCCGTGCAGTTCCAATGATGGAAATTGCGAGGGGTGTGAGGCCTCATGGTGGTCCTCACAGGTAAGGCCTATGATGGTCCTCACCGGGGGGGGGAGGGCAAGGGCGGACGTCCACCAGCAACGTCCGTCGTGCTCATCCTCCGTGACATGCACTGTGACCGCGCGGACCGTCGAACGTTTACTAGATATCGCTCGGACGTGTTCATCTTCTCGGCGAGGATTATCGAGGAGCATCCTGGATCATCTTGGATCCGTGCCCTGAGGCGCAGCTCGATGTCAATACAGTCGGACCGAGGTATAAGACCGAGGTCGGATCGGGGAGGGTACCCTGATGTTCTTCGTGCTTGTTCGCTGTTCTTGTGCACCCTGGGGGGGGTACCCTCGGACGTTCTGTGTGCTTTCGCCGGCGAAGGGTCTCGTGTTCTTGAATGATGTCAATTGTCCTAGGTCCGACTGTGTGTTACGCGGTGGGCTTGAGATCACCGTACGAGTGCAGGCACGTATGCCTCTGACAAGTCTGCTTCGACGCGTGTGGGCACGATGAGGCGTAGCCCCGAGTTGATCACGCAGCAAATGCTGCGTCTGGGCCTGCACGTGCGTTAGGAAGGACGGATAACTGCATTTCCAGCCCCTTCTATGAGGGCGTCGTGCTCGGCAACAGTTCCACATGAATATCGGCTCCCAGTTTGAAAGCTGAGGGTTTCCGAATGGAGCCCGTTGCCGCCGCTGAGACGTCCAGCGTAGAAGCCCGAATGAAATGGCGACTGCTTGGCATGTGCGGGGCGTGCGCGACCCCCCAGCACTCTGCTCTTCCTGCGCGGCCGCTGCCAGGCAGGGCCGTAACGACACCGCTGGACGCCCTGACCAAACACTCATAATCGCGCGGGCACGCCAGCAGTGTAGGCTCGAACGGGACTGAGCCACCGTTCGGCGCAACACCTTAAATTACGCGACGGTTGCGGCGGCCTGTCACGGCCCGGTCCTGCACCGTCAGGACGCCGTGGCCAAGCTCTAGGCCTCCTAGATGGGGTCGGAGTAGATGGGGTCCGAGGATCGCGCTGCATCGCCGATGCATCGGCGATGCATCGGCGATGCGTCTCGATGCGGGGCCCAATCTTCTACACGCCAAGGTCGCCGATGCATCGCCGACGTCGCCGGTGCATGGCCGATGCATCGCCGATTCATCGGCGATTCCTTGCCGATGCATCGGCGATGCGGCGAGATCCTCCGACCCCATCTATTCGGACCCCATCTCGGAGGCCTCTACACGTGGCACCGCTCGGACGTGTGCATTTTTGTTCTCTGCGAGAGCCATCGACGACCATCCCGGACCATCGAGCAAAACAAAACACGCACGACACCGAAGAATGCACGGGAGATGGACGTCCGAGCGACGGCAAGTACAAGCGTACTGGCCGCGCGTGCGGTCTGCGCAGCTCGTCGGGCGGCACCCGCCCTGCCCGAGCTGTGGGGCCTCGCTTTAAGTCGGGCCTGTCCATCTACAGGGGGAAGATTCAAACATGCAAAACAAATAGTCTGGGGACTTTTTGGGGGGGGAAGTAGTTCTGGGCATCTTTTGAGCATTTTTGGGGTATTTTTTATTTTTCGTCCAAAATCCCCCCTGCAGGGGGACAGGCCCGACCTGAGCCTCGCCTCGCCGACGCGGAGTTGTTGGAGCGGCCCCGCGCGCGCCGCCCGAAACGGGAGGGAGGCCCGGCGGCCGAGAGCCCGCGACCCCGGCCCGCACGACGGGTCCCCAGCGATCGAAGTCTGGTGGGCGGCCAGCTCCACAGTGGCCTCTTTGGCGTCGCTCGGGCGTGTGCATCTGTTCCTTCGGCGAGGAGTCGAAACGAAGATTCAGCTTGAAACTGATTCAAAACATTGATTCGACCGAAGTCGAACGTTTCGGATTCGAAGTTGAAATGGCGAAACCGCCGAATACTTCCTCCAAAACAGAAGTCGAAACCCATTCGGTTCCAGATTTCACTTCGAACCTTTTCGAACTCGATGACCATCGAGGAGCATCCTTGATCATTTTTCCGGGGTGGACAGACCTCCTGCCCTGACACGTCGATTCAGGAATTGGCCGTTTCGGTTCGCGAGAGGGCGTCGCGGCCGTCATTTTTGCGGGTCCGTGTCCGTCGGTTTCGGTCCCAGGTCGTTTTCACTAAAGGGAGGTTTACGAAAGGGAGGTCTGTCCACCGCCGAATTTTCCTTCGGCGAGGACCATCGAGGAACATCTTTGAGCATTTGGCGAAGGAGCCACGCACGAAACCGAAAAAAGCACAGGGAATGGACGTCCGAGCGATGGCGTTGATCCCTGTAGCAGTGGCATCGATGCCTCCGCTCGGTTCGGACCCTAGAAAACACCCTGCGGGCCGCCTGTCCCGGCCTCAGGTGCCCGCCGCGCGGTGGGTCGTGGCCTCCGTGCGCGGCTCCACGCGCGGGGGGGGGGGGCTGCTCCCGGGTCCTGTCCGCGGCGGGAGCTGCTGCACGGGCGCTTACACGTCCCCGGGGCGTGGCCCACCGAAGCCAAGCACGCCAAGTTCTCGGGTCTTGAGTGATTGTGGCGAGGGCGATGGGCGCTGATCAGCGGCAACGAGAGGGGGGGATAGGCATAGGGGGGGGGGGGGGGGGCTGCATCGACCCCCAATCGCCCATTGATCGTCGATAGGTGTCCGATAGCCCCTCCCCGCCCAGGAGGGTGCGGGTTCGCTGTCGGGGGCCCATCGCCGATCTATCGGCGATGCATCGCCGATTGCAGGTCGATGCATCCCCCCCTATGCCAGTCCCCGCCTATCGTTGCCCCTCATCTTGAGTGACTGTGGCGAGAGCGATGGGCGTTGAGGTTCCCGGCCGTACCACATCTTCCCGCGGACGACACGTGTGCGCCGTGGCGTTTGTCGATTCTCGACCCAATTATGGTATGGTGCGCAGTTTTTCGACCCCCAAAGACGCACAAGCTATGCACCGTATCGCGCTGGGGCGGGGCCTGGACGGGGTCCATACGGTAGGTTTGTGTCGTGTCGACCGGCGGCGACCCCAGCGCGGGCGTTCAAGGTTGAACGCCGCCGGCGACCCAGAATCGATCGACGTTGAACGATCGGACGTTGCGGCAGCGGCCGATCGTTCAAGGTTGAACGATCCCCGCGGTGTCAAAAACCAGCGCTGGGGTCGGCACGACGCGAACCTGCCGTACATGGTCCGGTGCATGGGCGCCGTTCTCGTAAATCTTCCCGATGGCCCTGAGCGCTCGGCCTCGGAGGCCAGCCGTCCCCGTGATCGTGCATCGCCTGTTGCCTGCCGAGAGGGGAGGAGGGAGGAGGGAGGAGGGAGGAGGGAGGAGGGAGGAGGGAGGAGGGAGGAGGGAGGAGGGAGGAGGGAGGAGGGAGGAAGTGTTCGGAGGAGGTCCTCGCGCTCTCTCACCCACGCTGGGAGTCATGACAAGCACCCGCCGACCCTCTTCTTCTCCCTCCCGCGCTCCCGATTCTCCTCCCTCTCCCCCTCTCTCCCTCCCCCCGTTCTTCGGCTGCGAAATCCGAGACCTGCCCCAGCCGATCAACGGTGCAGGCAACTAGATGGGCGGGGGGGTTAAGTTAGGCTGCAGAAGTCGTCGAGCACTCGGCGAAGGCCAAGCCCCACTCCCGCCTCCCATCGATTCAGGATATTCGATGGTCGGTGGGGGTAGGGTTCGGGTGTCGCCACCTAGCGCTGTTAGTTGGATGACACGGCTGCAGGCAGGCGGCCAGGGCAGCCAAGGCTCCCAGTGATGCCTGGGACAGGCAGAACTCATCTCACCTTCTCCCTCTCCTTCCCCTGTCCTCTCCCCCCGCCCCTTTCCCCCCCCCTCTCTCCGCGTGCGCGCGCCTTGGTGGAGAGCAAGTGTTGGTCCCGCTTGATTGCGGTCGTCGGACCTGGCAAAGCTGGCACCATCACTATGCACATCATGGCATCCATAGCCATTTTGGCCTACAAATTTTCGGCACAGAGTTGGACCAGACGTGCCGCAGGACCTGGGCAACGATGAGCTTCCTTGGCGCACGAAGCGGATCTTTCATGGCAACGGGCCCGCGCGGTGGGTTCGTTGGGGGCTCCCGCGGGGCCTTCGCCGGTGGCGGCGCGGGCGGGGGCGCGCTCATGGGCAGCGGGGTCCACCCCTGCGGCGCGGGCGGCGGCGCGCTCATGGGCAGCGGGGTCTACCCTGGCGGCGCGGGCGGCGGCGCTTTCATGGGGAGCGGGGTCTATCCCGGGATGGGCTATGGCGGCGGGGTCTACCCCGGGATGGGCTACGCTGGCGGTGGTGAGGCGTGCTGCGGAGGCCCAGGCTGTGGCGCGGGCTGCGCGGACGGGTGCGGAGTGGGCTGCGGGGGCATCGCAGGAACGACGATGTCGTACGTGGGCATGGGCGGTGATTACATCGCCACGACCACTTACCAGTACGTGGGCCAGGGTGCTGGCACCTTCGGCGTGGTGCCGATCCCTGCGGCTGGGTGCAGCCCATGGTGGCTGTGCTGCTTCCTGCCGCTTCTCTTGACACCCCTCCTCTTCTTCGCGGGGACCACCACCACCACGACCACGACCACAACGACCCCTGCCATCGTCACCGCGCCGCCTCCGGACGTCGTGCCTACGCCGCCGCCGAAGAAGGAGTGCTGTATCGACATGTGCAACTGTGCCCGCGATGGGACGCAGTGCGACGATGATTGTGGCTCCGACAAGTGTACCGATTTCGACGATTGCGATGAGAAGGGCATCTGCATCACGGGCACTCCCGAATGCGAGAACCCCACGCCAGCGCCGCCGCCGCAGGGGCCCCAGAAGCACTGCAGGATCTTCGGTGACCCGCACGTGGTGACGTTTGACGGGCAGTCAGCAAGCTTCTATTCTCAGGGCGAGTACTGGATTGTGAAGAGCACCACCGTCTCGATGCAGGGCCGCTACATGCCGACTCCAGTGACCAACGGCCTCTCCGTCATGAAGGAGATCGCGATCGGCGGCCCCTTCCTGGAGGGCAAGGATGGCACCAAGAACATCCTGCGCATCTCCTCCCTGCGGGCGACCTTCAACGACATCCCCATCATCTCTGGCTTTCCGGACGCTTGGGAGAACCAGGACCCGATGATCAAGGTTGTCACCGACGGCAGCGGGCAGGTGATGCAGTCGAGCCGCACCGGCAAGGATATGCGCGTCGTGCACGTGGACTTGCCGCTCAACATCCACCTGGAGATCAACCGTTGGAACGAGCCAGGCGAGGGCGACTACATCAACACGATGATCACCATGAGCATGCAGCCCAACCAAGACGGCCACTGTGGAAATTTCAACGGTGTGCTGGACGACGACACGAGGCCAGCCATTCGCGCCCGCATCGGCACCACAGGTGTCCCGCAAGCGGAACTGCTCTTCCACACCAAGACCCCTGTGACGCCCGTGAACCGGCCCGACCTCAACAACTGCGCGTCCGACAAGACCGAGATGGCCAAGGAGCTCTGCACGAAGAAGTCCAAGACCGGCATCCCCAACAAAGATTGCATGATCGACGTGTGCTTCGGAGGGGCGCACTTTGCCGACATGACCGACTACGACGAGTGAGGGGTGGCGCAGAACGCCACAGCCTCGTGGAGATGTCGTGCCACGTGAACTTTAGTCGAGCAGGGTCATTCGGGCCCTGGGGCCCGAGCAAGGCTCATCACTCTGCCGCAATGATGTTACAAGCCGCCCACGGCTTGAGGGTGCGCGGTCGCTGTCTGAGCAACGATCTTCCGCAGAGATCGGGCAAAGTTACTGGTCAGAGCGGTATTTTGGTTGCTCCGTGTGCGCCCCTTCTTCCTCCTCCAAGGCGCCGTGTGGCACGGCGTGGCGCGGCGTCCAGAGCGACGAGGGCGGCCGTGCGAGGGAAATAAAGGACGACAGATCATGGTGCTGCCGTGCATCGAAGAAGAACGAAGCACATGAGCATAAGCTTTTGGCGCTCCGCGCAGACTTTTCTTGGATCCGCGCCTGGGCCCCCCGGCGGCGCCTCTGGCGCCGCCCCTGGCGCGCTCCGCGCGCCAAGGAGGGGGGTCCAGCGCGAATCCAAGAAATCTGCGCGGAGCGCCAACAGTTTATGTTTATGTGGTTGTTTCTTCTTCTATTGTATGATCTGCTCAGGTCGACTGGGATCGAGTGTTGACAAGAAGAGCGAGGGGCGATGGGTGGGAGGAGCGGGCAAAGGACTCATGCCAGAATGAAAGCAGTGCAGCACCGTCACTGACAGGCTTTCTCGACAGCCTCTTGGGGTCATCTTTGGCCGTCCTTTCAGATACACCCGTCTTCCAGTCAGCTCGGGAAGATGTGCTTTTCTCGGGGGCTTCTGGAGGCATCGAGGTCGTTTGGTGGCTTCTTGGATGCCTCTTGAAGTCTCAGAGGCCATACACCAAGCCTCTCGGTGGCTCAATGAGCCGTCTAAAGTCTCTCGGCCCAAGTTTGGCATATCGCGGACGCCTCCTTTGAGGCTTCTTGGGCTGTCTTGGGAGCCTCGAGCCTCCTGGAGGACCGTCTGGCCGTCTTGGGGGCCTCGCTGAGACTTCCTGTGCCGTCGAAGGAGTCTTTTGGACGCCTTTTGGAGGCATTTTGTGGTCTCTTGAGGGTGTTTCTTGGGAATCTCTTGAGCCATCTTGGGAGTGCCCTCGGAGCCCGTCTCGGGGCCTGATTTGGAACACGAGGCGGGTGATGTCGGAAACTGTTCCTTTTGGAGGCCCGAAGGGCCCAAACGCACTGTGTTCTATTATGGCTTCGCACATCGGCGTCTTCGGCCTTCCAAACCCAACACTCCCCAATCAGGCTGTGCCTGATGGGTTCTACTTGCTCCGTGAAAGGACGGGTGGGTGCAGAGTGCCAGTTCAGAGGCGGCCACCGACGTTGCTCGGTTCCTGGGTCTTGGTTTCTTTTAGGTGTTGCTCAGATATCCCGGTCTTGTTCCTTGGTTTCCCCAGGTCTTTTTTCGGTTACTTGGTCTTCCCTGGTCTTGTTCTATGCCTTCCTTTCTCGGGTTCTTTGGTCTTGTTCCTTGGATCCCCCAGTCTTGACACTGCCAAGCAGTGCCAATCCATGCCAAGCAACGTAAGGAACACAATGCCAAGAACCGCCAAACATCGCCAAGCAATGCAATAGCGATGTTAAGCATTCCGAAGCCATGCACATCAATGCCGAGCAACGTTTCCAAGCAATGCCAAGCAACGCCAGCAATTCCGAGCAATCGTCTTCATTTCGTTGCTTCTGCGTTGCTCAGAACTGTTTTGATTTGCTTTGGCAGGCAGCAGACCTCCAATTTGGGTCGTGCCAGGTTCATCGATGTCTTCACCGCGGTCCGAAGACGGGACAATGGAGAGGTACGGGGATCGGTAAGCCTCTCCCCCCTGGCAGTCAAGGATTGCATAGAGGAGCTCAGGGCGCAACACTAGTCCACCTGAAGCCACGAGACATGTTGAGATCAAGTATGGCATTTGCATGAAGACTTGAGCGGGATCCGTTGTTAGTTCACCACCAAAGCTGACGCACTTGGCATTCGTAGTCGATGTTGCGCCACTACAAGGGCTTGGAAGGACGCGTTCATCAGTATATGACGAAAGCTGAACGTATTCGTGGCGTTGGCTACGAGTACAGTTATGTAGTGCCTGGACCCTGCATGGCTAAGTCAGAGCAACAGACGACGATTCGATGTGTTCCAGGCGCATTGCCTTCGACATGTCCTTGACATTCTTCCATCTTATATCTCAAGAGTGCCCAAAAACAATAATACATGGAAGTTCCCGGAGTCCTCTCGCGTCGCGCAATCGTTGTATTATTTATTCCACACCCTGCCCCGTAAGATATGGGACGACGTTCGCGCGGCGATGTTCCGACGTGAGTCCGACGTAGATCCGACGCGAGCCCGACGTAACTTCGACGCAACCCGACGTGATTCCGACGTGGATCCGACGTAAGTTGGGTCTCAAGTTGCCGAGCGATGTATCTAAGATATCATTCCTAAAACGTGTGCTTGAACAGGCTGGGGCTACACTCTACAGTGCCCAAATATTCTAGCATCAACCTATGTTGTTTGGGAAACTTGGCCGCAGCAGCGACACTGACGTACTCCAGAAAATAGCGCTCCAGTCCGGCAGCATGAGACCGTTCACCGATTCTCTTGACGAAAGTTTGGGCGTCCCAGGCATGAGTGGGGCAATTGTTTGTAGAATTAGATTCGAAGATATTTGAATATATAAGTGCTCTGTGCCAGTGCGTCACAGACAAGCCACGATGGTACCGCTTGGTTGCAGAGTTCGCTGAGTGACGTCCCGTAACGCCCCGTGACGCCCCATGTTGCCGTGACGCCCCGTGACGCCCCGTGACGCCCCGTGACGCCCCGTGACGCCGTGACAGTGACTCTGCCCCGTGGTTCGCACATCCTCTGCTTCACAGTCGGCGCTCCGCTCTGCATTTCTTGCTTCGCGGTCGGGCGCTCCGCTTTCCCTGCGCCCCTGTGCAGGGCAGCGCGCGCATGGCTCCTTGGCCACGGCTCCTCCCCTCCTCCTCGTTGTGCTCGGGGCCCTTCTCCAGTTCGCGTGAGCCCCCGCGGAGCGACAGGCCGCCCGGCAGAGCGCAGCCGTTGCAGCGGCTCCCATGCCTTCAGCCTCTTCCTGCTCCTCCTCCTCTTTCTCCTCCTCCTCCTCCTCCTCCTCCTCCTCCTCCTCTTCTCAGGAGGGCAAAAACACAGACACTATGTCTGGGAAAAGATGGGAAGGGGGGGGAAGACTAAAACCCAGAAAATATGGGAATCTATAGAGAATCCTGGGGTTTGTGCCTGTTTAGTTTTGTGTCCCAGGGCCCCTGTATCCTCCTCCTCCTCCTCCTCCTCCTCCTCCTCCTCCTCCTCCTCCTCCTCCTCCTCCCCCTCCTCCTTTCCTCCTCCTCTTCCTCCTCCTCTTCCTCCTCCTCTTCCTCCTCCTCCTTCGATCCTCCACTCTCGCCTGGCTGGCTGCCGAGGTACGGCGTCGCCGGCGGCCTCGTCTGCTCGCTGCCGGTCCAGTGCCTCGGAGGCGGTCGCTGGCGGGTGGCACCCGGCCTGCGGCTGAGCGAGGCTCCGATCGGGGCCCTTCCTCCCTCCTCCTCCCTCCTCCCTCCAGCTTCGCTCCTCCTTCCTCCCCCCTTCCCCTTCTCCTTCCTCCGCCCTTCCTCATTCCTCCTCTCAGTATCGTTCAACCGACCCCCATCCCCATCCTCATCCCCTTCGAGACCTCCACCAAATTACCACCCCAGTTGGGGATACACCCCTCGAATCCCGAAGTGAGCGGCCTATATCCCCATCTAGGGGGGTAAATCGGCCAGTGGGGCCCATGCCACGCCACTGGGGATGGGGGTCGGATGAGCGATTCTCATCCTCCCCGCTCCCTCCTGCTCGCTCCTGCCCCGCCCTCCCTCCCCACCTTCTCCTCGGGTCTGTGCAGGGTGTCTTCCCCTCGCCGATCTGAGCGCAGACCTCCCTGCGCTGCAGACGCTGGCCCCGAGACGTCTGGTCGGCCGCGGCTGGCCCTGGCCTCCGCCAGGGGGGCGGACAGCACGGCCCCGGAGCCAGGCAGCGTGAAGCCTGGGAGCTGTCCTCTTTTCCGTTGGTGCCCTGGGGGCTGAGAAGCCGTCCTCCACGGGGTCTGTCGGCGGGTTGGACGAGTGGGGGGGCGCGGGGGAGGGAGAAGGGGGCCGTCAAACGAGAATCGCTGCATGCGGCTGGGTCCTGCCCCCGCCGCCGGGCGCTTCTCTCGATGCGTTGGCGCGTCTGGCGCCGGGATGCGCACCCTCCCCCTCCCCCCCTTGCTGTCTCCCCCGGTTTGTCCGCTCCGGGCCTGTCGGTGTGGGGGCCGTCGGTGCGCACCGCCAGGCGAGCACGGCGCTGCTGAGGGGCGGCGAGAGGGAGCTCCTGGAGGATTGCGGCACGTCCCTCCCCCCCCCGTTTTCCTCCTCCTCCGCCTCCTACTCCTCCTACTCCTCCACTGCCGTTTTGGCTCAAGATGGGGACCAGGCCCCTTTTGAGTAAGGCAGCCCTCCTTGGGGGGCGTTCTGGGGTCAAGCCCAGGCGGACACTAAACAGTTTAATTCTTCTCTCCCTCAGCACGCTCGCCAGGAAAACCGCACGTAACGGCGGGAGGAATAAACTCGGAGTTGCCTGCTAGGTTGAGGGAGGTGGTGAGCGCGTCCATGGTTCAATTTCGGGAGAGCATCGCAGCTGCCCTTGACACAAAGCTCGGCAACCTTTCGCTCGATATGGCCGCGGCTCAGGAGGAGACCAATGCCAAGATAGGGGAACCCGAAATTGAGATGAAGGCCCAACGCGAGAGGTTGAACAAGCAGGCCGACACCATCAAGCAACTGCAGGATCAGGCTGCAAAAGACACATCGACGAGTGCTGGATCGGTCGTTTCTGTCTCCAGCTTCACAGTGCCATACCGAAGGGGAGCGTCAGAGGGCAACAAGGTCAGGCGGTTCGGCTCGGTGGACGAGCCTGCGGGAAAGAAGACCAAGTTCATCGGAGGGTTTCCTAGACCGCTTCTTGCTTAGTTCGGTGAGAAGCGCTTCGAGGACGTGAAAGTGGTTTACCCGCAGTACTTAAGGAGTTGTGCTGAGGGGACCTTCATCGTGACGGGGTCAACTATAGAATACTTGTCCAGACAGGGTCGGCTGCGGCAGACTTCCAGGAACATGCCAACAGGGCTGGTCATAAGTGGGCTGATTCCAACGATGATACCAACCACCCACTTCGTCCCGTGGTGATCTTCCGCCATCTCAGAGATGCAACTCGTCCTGCAGACTTGCGGGGTGGACGGGTACCAAGGCGTGCTGCAGGTCAGCAGCGAGCGAAACCTTCTGGCTTTGTTGTCCGTAAGGAAGTATTCAGATTTGGGCCAAAGCAGTCCGAGCTGAGCCAATGGAACATCACCCCCGAACATATTCATAGCTTACTGAACAATGTGCAGGCAGAGAGCCGCAAGTTCGGTGGTGACGACGACGAAAGCTAGGATGCTTCCTCATCGGGCCGACCGAAGGAAGGATTGACCTCCAAGAGGCTACGCTATTCCTCTGGCTCCTCCTCATCTGCTGGGTCCTGGAGGTCCTCCTCTTGGGTATCCTGGCGAGCCGAGGTGGGCGATCTACAGGCGGATGCTCCAGCGCGTCCTCTACTGCTTCCTCTTCGTCATCGTCTTGTGGTTCGCTGTGGCAGGTGAGCGCAGTCTGCCATTTTTCCCCCGCTCCCATTCTCTTTTCGGTGCATCGGGGGATCGCATATCACAGGCGTACATATGCATGTAACAACGGGCTTCTTTCGAATAGTGAAGTCTGTGCTTTCGAAGAGACGCATGGGTGCACGGGTGATTTGGCCGTTCTGCGTGAGGAGGTACAATCGCACTCCCATGTTGCTTTTTTGTTCGGCAGCCGGGGCTGGCGGAGCCATTTTGAGCGTCCCCAAAAAGGTGGGGCAGCAATTCGCACAGTCAGTGCATCGCGTGTTCGTGCCTGGCCGTCCACTGCATCTCCCTTTCAGTCGGATCTTAATGTCCACAAGTATTCAGCATCCACTTTGTTCCAGGACTCCCAGAAGCTCATGTGAAGCATCGCGATGACAATACTCAATTCTAGCATATCCCTCTCATCCTCGTGCGCCATCATCTTGATGGGGGGCCTCAGTTTGGCGGAGTTCGGAGGGGCCCGCTTGCAGGCCCACGATGGCATTCGGCGCGCGGGCCATTGCCAGTTGAGCCCTTCTTCCCACCAGAGGTGTCCGAGGATTTGCTGAACTCCTCGACCTAGCCATACCTGCCGACGAAAGACTGAGACGATGGTGACCTTGACACGGACCGATCGAATCCACGCGAGCATGGCGACCGCCGGCCTCTTCGACTTCCACTCCAATCCAGCACTGCTTGTTCGATTCATATTCTTAAAAGCCGTCCGACCATGCCTCGATCTTCCTCGCTCTCCACCCAGCGGTGGAGAAGCCGGAGATACTTGCGATTCCTCAGTTTGTTAGCATTCCATCGGAGTAAGTTTCCTGCTGCGCGAAACTGCCAAGAGCCTCCAGGGACGGGTTAACGTCTGCAGGAAGGCTGTTCAGGCCGATCAGGTGTTGGGGCAGTTCTACTCCGTCCTCCGCGACAGGCGGGGCGGCCTGCCTGGATCTCAAGCTTTGCTACGTCGCATGATGCGCGGGGGCGACCTTCCCCGTGCTTTGGGAGAAGCACATATTGAGCGGATGCGACGATTCAGCAAAGCGTGGCCTGTCTCGAAGAGGAAGGTGGTGCTATTTGCGGCTGTAGATTACAATGGGCAGGCGCGCCGGGCGCCTGAAGACTGCGCGCTTGCTGGTAATTGGCCCCCCTGCATCTAAGTTCTGGAAGTTCTGACGCGCGCTCGGAGTTTTCTAGCGCCCCCCCCCCCCCCGGCTGGGGCCAGATGGCAACTTGGGCGCCGCGAGGGGCCGCCAGAGATGCCCATGAATGATCGGCTTTGGTAAATTTGATATTCGCATGAGAAAATGCGATGATGCTTCCGGGCTCGACGGGCCCCGCGCTCTGCCTGGAAACGCGGGGGCGAGGCGGCGGCGGGCGCATCAGGTACGTGCGCCGCGCGCATGATGCGCGGGGGATCTTGCACGCGCTGCCGCTTGGCCATTGTCGCCGAAGGGCGATCCCCCCAAAATGTGGGGCGGCCGAAGATGCCCGGAGAAAACGCGCCCCCTTGCCCTCAGTAGTTCCGATCAAAATTAACGGCATCGCGCGTCGCGCACCCCCGAAACAAGGAATGAAAGAACAACTCCACTCGATTCAGATCGGGGGGCGAAACATGATTGATGGCATTCTGGGGCCCGACGGGGTCCGCGGCCCCCAGGGGGGTTCTGTCCCGGGGAGATAAGGTCGGAGCTTCATTCTCGCCCGCGTTGGACCGCTGGCTCTTCGGGGTGCTTGGGGCGCGCCAGTGGCCCGCGGCGGTTCGAAGGGCGTTTCGTGTTCTTTGCGCGCATGTGCGTTGTCTCAGCCCGCGCGGGGCGGGATGATTTCGTGGATTGGAAGAGCGGCGTGGCGCGCGCCAGGGGCGCCCTCCGCTGGCGGGTCTCTGTCCGCCTTCGCACTCGACCCGACGTTTAGAGCGACGGCGAGAATCCAACGTCGCACGCCTGTCGCCCCCCCGGCCATCGCACATGATCAATCGGTTGTGGTGTTAGTTTTTTTTTTTTTTTTTTTTTTTTTTTTGTTTTTTTCTCTTCCCCCCCCCCGAGCGCGCTCTTGGGTCTTGGCTGTATTTCGTCTCCGCGGGCTCCTCTGCTCTGGACTCGCGCTTAACTGCCGGAAATGCAGGTTGATTCTGTTCAAGAAAAGGGGGGCGGGGAGGTAGCGAGGAGTTTCCAGGAGATCGGCAGCAATGTCTCGGAGGTCGCATTCATGGATCTGGCAGTTCCGCTTAGCATCCATGTTGGGCGAGCCGCTGGCAGCAACGTTCGCCATCGCGCGTGCGAGGTGAAAACGCATCGGATTCGAGGTCATCAGCGAACAACAGGCATCGCGCGCCCATCCCCATCCACGCTGCTCAATGCCACTCGACTACAGCACTGGCCTTGGAGAATCAAATGGAAAGCCAGCAAGTGTTTGCGAGAGCGCCCCGTCTTTCTTCCCTCCCAGACGCTTCTCAGACTCCAGGACTTGGGATTTGCAGCCGAACGCAGGAATTTGACAGCGTTTTCGTGGGCCACTATGTTGCGCGCCCCCATCTGCTCCGAGCCCCTCGCCAGTGCGAGGGAAACGCTTAATATCGCGATCGAGGAGGGGGGGGGGGGCGGGCAGAATCCTTATTTGGCGAACTCTATATGTTACCGTATGTATTGTCTATTGTCTGTATGCATAGCTAAGCTCTGACTGGGACATGGAAGACTTGCTGAACTCTAAAGTCCAAACGTTGTCCAACCCGCGTCATCCTTAAGATCTTGGAAAACGAGGGGGCGATGCGCTGTGTGCGATTAGATATATGATATCGACCCTCTCCTTCCCCAAACGGTTGGCTTCGCTGTTCTCCGTATACGAGTGATGCAGACGCGTCAACTTTTTATTTACATTGTCGTCAGTGTCACCGAATCGACTTTCAAAGGTTGGAACGCGACCCGCCGCTACCGACAACAACAGATGACTTGTGCATTTGGATGTAGAGTTCGATCGTGGATCGGACCCCGTGGAACATTACGTTGTTGCCCTTTTCCTTATGTTGGGCGTACCTGTCGGTGTCATCCCCCATTTTCTCTTTCTGGGCTAGGGCGCGTTTGCGCACAGTGTCATTTTCCCTCGCCTGTTCGAGCTTTCCGCCCCGAGCTCCGCCGCCGCTGAAAGCCTGCCGCCCCGCTGTCGGCCATCGCGATCGACGGAATGCCGCTCAGGTGCAGCCCCGCCGCGCCCGATCGGTCTCGCCAGCTCTTGTTTACCAGGTTCAGATGCTCGGCGAGGAGTTCGAGGCTCGCGCGGCTCGTGCGCCCTCTCTGCCGCTAGGTGTTGTTCGTTTCGTCGTGGCGTTCTCTCCCCCTCCCCGCCCCTTTACACCAGCTCCGGGCTCTCCCCTGGATCTGCTGGTTCAGGGCCCGGTGGCAGCGTCGGGGCCTGAAACAACAATCGGCGCGGCGGTCAGCTGAAGATTGTGCCCTCCACGGGTGCCACTCCTCCTCCTCCTCCTCCCCCTCTTCCTCCTCCTCCTCCTCCTCCTCCTCCTGCCCCTTCCTTTCTCCATCCCTCCTCCCTGTCGCGCCCCGGACATGCTGGTAGGGCGGGCCGGGCGTTTCGCTTCAGACTTCCTCGACACGCATTGGACTTGAAGCTTCAACTTTACGACCATTGCGCGTGGAAGAGAGGGGACCGTCGCCTTTGTTTTCAAAAGCTTACAGCAGCTTCCCGG